GAATCAAAACTTTTATTAAAAAGAAATGAAAAGGATTTTTTTCTATTTTTAAATAGACACAAAACATTCAGTAGCAGAGAAGATAAAAATACTGAGCAACTAACATTACAGATAACATTTTTCCCATAGAAAAATGTATAGAATATGAAATAATCTATCAGAAACAAGAAACCATTAACCAGTAGATACAGCAAAGAAATTAAACATAAATTCCTAGCTTTTCCTATTTCCCTAGAGCCGCAAGGGGACGCAAGCCCCAGCCAAACTTACCTGCATTGTGCATATGTGCGCCTCCTAGCTGTTTTTCAGCCTGTTTGAGGCCTTTTGCGCCCTACCAGAGGCTTGAGGGAAACCTCTGCAGCCTCGGGAGGCCGAAAAACGGGCCTTCTGGAAATACCAGGTGCCCGCTTTCAGCTTCCGGAGGGCCCCTGGAGCTTGGAAGTGATGAAACAGGCCTGTTTTTCAGCCTCCTGAGGCTGCAGAGGCTTCCTTTGAGCCTCTGGGAGGGTGAAAACAGCCTCAAATGGGCTGAAAATCAGCTGGGAGGTGTGGAACATGCGCAGTGCAGGTAGGGGGGGCCTTGTGCACGCATGCATGGGGGCACATTGCATTGTGGATACTGGCACGCGTGCGTTACCACGCACATGCACACTTTCGGCATACCACAACAAAAAGGTTCGCCATCACTGCCTTAGAGAATAGATAATCCTTTGTTCATTCATACAGTACTTACTCTTAGCAAATGCTTTTTTCTGCAAATTATACTTTAAGTCTAAATAGTTATTTTAAATCCTACTTGTTTCCAGAGTTTTGCCTAGCAACCGCCTGAGTGATTTGAAAAAAAAAAGAAAAAAAGAAATGAGCAGGAAGGAGGAATTTGAAAGAAGCTGCTTGTTTCATATGTGCCAAAACCATGTGCTTCTTTCACAACAAGAAAGAGATGCCTTAACTAGCAGCTTGCCTTCTCAATGAAGAGGCTGGTGGGCAGGTTAATGAGAGTGCATATGGGGATGGGGTTGTGGTTTTGTTATTAAAATAATGTTTTCTCTTTTTCAATAGGTGGATAGAAGCTTTCCAAGAAGCCACAATATTGTAGCACATTCTAGGTTTAAAGACAATGTCAGATAACTAAATGACATTACAGTTCTGTATGTTATAGTCAATGAATTTGCCCGGGCAAAGCCTTTTTTAAAAAAGTGGTCTGAACCTAGTCTCTGATTCAGGAATAATGATTTTTTTAAAAATGTGAATACTTGTTGTCATACAAAATATGTTATTTATTAAACTCTGCCACTGTTTTACATTTGCTAATGGTCAATCATTTCTGAAACTCAACCTGAATTTGAAAGTTTCCTTGATTACAGAACCTTATAAACCACAGTATCATTCAATGGAAAAGTGCAGCAAGGTATTTCTCTATTGTGTTCCAAGGACAATTTTCCATTTGTTATTTAATTTCACACATGCAGAATGTAAGATTTTTCAGTAAGCTTTTAGGATTTCTTGCTTTTTTAATCTTTGGTAAATCAACTGAACTACTGTGCATTCTACCAAACATATAGTACTATTTCATATTTGAAACAACTAAGTTTAAGTTTATTAATTGGCCTACATGAGGCAATGTACAAATAACTTTATAATGATTAATTGCACATTAATCTCTTATATTATTTATCTTTTTCATATTCCATAATGCTGCATCTGAACACTCTCTGGTACTCTATATGGAAGGTTTTGTGTGATACTTTTTTCACTAAAGCCTGAACTAGACCCGTTCCCAGAAAATTAATGAAACATTATAGCAGAAAAAGCCCAAATATTTGTAGTGGAAGATTAAGAATATACCACTCCTTCTAGATCTCTCTCTTTGGATAGTCAAGCAACATTAATTGTTCAGTTGGGTAACAAGCTACAGGAGGATGACTTTTTTCTTTATCTAGATATTTCTATCTATATGCCTGATTCAGGTATAAATATTTTTATCCAGAAATCACAGAGAAATGTGTATAATTAGAATCAAAAGAAAAAATGAAATAGCTGCCCATTTTGTTTTAAAAAAAAACAACACTATTTTTAAGCTGGTTCTTCCAAGTTGGCAGAAGTTTCTTCACGATCACATGACCTTTCCAGGAGTTCATGTGGGTTCAGTTCTTTTCTTTGTATTTTTGTTTTATCTTCAAGAGAGTACATTACAGTAATCACAAAACCCATTAGGATATGAGACACAGAAACTAGCTTAGTAAGGCTGAAGTTAGCAAACAAAAGAAGCCACTGGCCTTGCCGACCGCTAAGAACAAACACTGTAATTTCCAGGGATAGCAAGTAAGAGAACCCTCGAGCTATGCACTATGAGAGTACTATGTTGTCTAATACTGGCTACCACTTTATTGCCAGGTTTTGCAATAATCTAACCATCATCTGGATTGAGCTTCAGATTTTTAGCCATTATCCACTTTATCACAACCTCAAAACATCTGTCAAACATCAGTTTTCCTGATGACATATCACTTTACATTTCTGGGTCACTATTCTCAATAGACCACTACTTTCTTGTGTTCCAGAAGAATAGAACCTTCTGGTGCCTCATAATACAAGTGCCATGGGGACAAATAATTTTCTAGTTGCAACTTTCTAGCAAATACTCAACCCATTCCAACAATACCCCCAAACCAATTTGCTAGTATTATTAAAAGTTGCTTAGAAATACAGGAATATGAGCACAGTGATATGGACTTTCTGTGCTATATCTGGCTGAAACCAGACTATACAAGATTTAAACAATCTTTTGGTCATACTTGTAGTTGCATGGCTGAAATCTTTCCTAATTAATTATTTTTGGGTGCTTGTTGTTTAGAATCTATGGATGTAGTTATTTCAAGGCATCAATAATGTCCTCAATAAAGAGGTACTGACCACTAACTGGATTTCTCCAATTAGATTCTACCTGAAAACTACTGGGAAGCTATACCTGATCCATAATTCAGCTGTACAGGCAGTAATGGCAAGATGCGCTTATGTAGTAACACTGCTACATGAATTGTACCAGTTGTCAATGATACTGATGCTGATGACCTACAAAGCCTGGGGTATCTGAGAGACAAAGGCTGGGGTATCTGAGAGACCAATTTTTTCCCATCATTTCTGTTCATCCAATAAGATGCAACGCAACCAGAATGCTTCAGATTCCAATCTTTTGCCAATCTTTTTGCCAGCTGATAAGGTGCATGTATGAGTCTTCTCACTTAATGCGCCTGGCCTCTGGAACAGAATATCCCAAAGTTCAACAAGCCTTTAAGACTTCTTTCTTTCACCAGCTGCTGGGTGAGAACTATGCACTTTTGGGAGTTTTTGTTATATTCTTGATTTATTGCCCCTTTTGATTGCATATTGCATTGGAGATTTGATTGTACTCTCTCCAGCATCATCTTATTGAAGGTACTTATACATGTGATTTATAATTTTTTAACAACTCGGTACTCCCTTTACTTAGGGATAGTGTCAGGGTGACTGGGTAGAGCTGAATGTTTATTGGCCAAATGCCCTTCCTGACACCTATGGAGTTTGCAGCGGATAATTTTTTCTTTCTACGCTATCTAGGATTGAACGCTTTACCTTCTGAATATGAGGCTTCACCACTAGGCCACTTAAATATGATTTATAAATACATAAAAATATGGATCTGAGTAGCCATCATGATGCAACAGTGACTACATCAATATCTTGTTGAATTCTAGGTCGCAGTAATTGAAGCTGACCTGTTAAACTCTGATCAGATGGCAATCTCTTAAACTCAGTAAAATTGGCAAAAACTGTAGCACACCCTTTGCAGCTGGTATATCCTCAAACATATTGCAACCTTTTGCAATGGATTGGGAGTCAGATTAGCCTTGAGCAGTCCAGCCATTATCTGAATTTTTTTTACAGAGCATTTCACTAAGAGGATTTCATTGAGAAGTAAATTCTTTGTACAATCATTTGGAGTGGTACTTTGCCAGGTAGAGAGATCTGAGTCCTTGCTAGGTCAGAGTGATGTAAAACCAGAAACTCTTTTTCATCAGGGATGAGAACTGTTCATGTTCCAAATTAAACTGCACTGTCTGTGGACTAGCACCGGCCTGTGACATACCAGAAACTGGGCTGGGCAAACGAGAAGCCCCATCCACGGGAGGCAGACAGGACACAAAACCATGCTCCCTCCGGTCTGTGGAAAAAATTGTCTCCACGGAACCAGTCCCTGGTGCTCAAAAGGTTGGGGGCCACTGCTCTAAGTGGAAGGGGAGGTCTCCCAAGACCACTGGGAAACCGGTACAGAACAGGAGCAATCATCTTCTGGCTTCTTGATCTCTTCACCTTGCCTTCCTACAGAAGTAACTTGATTCTACTGATGACACCAAGCTTTATTTCCCTTTACTCAAGCACATAATGGCCCTTGGAGCCAACAACCTAACAAACCAAACCATATTCTTAATCCAGTAATTCTTCATCTCTTTTTCCCCGCTCCCAATTAAAGAATGAAGAAAGGTGGGTTCAAGCATTTTCACAAGACAAAAGGGTAAGAAAAAGAAGCAGCCCTCTTTAGTGATAGTAACCAATAACAAGCTCTGATAGTTTCTAACTTTGACAGCAAACAGATTTTCAGGAGGCAAAAATTGCCTGCAGTTCCTTCTGTCCTGACATCTCCATGTTTAAACGTTAAGTACAAAGGGATCACTTATAAAGCATACTAAATAACATGCCGGATTAAAGATGCTTTCTAAACTTGATCCCAAGGACTTCTACAGATCCAAGTATACAGTTTCTTGGCATCAAAGTGCTCCCTCGATTTCCCAGTAAAGCCTAGGCTAGAGTAATGGTGACCACCCATCCGAGTACTTAGTAGATCAAGTCCTTCTTGGTGTCAAGTTTAGACGAAGTCTTTCAGGGGCTTCCAAGCGATAAAATGTATTCCTAGTACATGTCTCTGAAAAATTCCCGGAATACTGAACGGGGATTCCAAACCTGACTGACAGGAAAGCCCGCGAGCACGCGCAGAAAATGTTTAGCTAGTTCTCGTGTTGTTTCCCTTCCCCTGCCCTCCCCTCATTGTTACGGCTACCAAAGGCGAAAGGCTTCCTTCCTTTCCTTCCCTCGCCGGCACGGTGACGTTCGTTCTTCCCCTCGCTAAGGGCTGACTTTGCGCATGCGCAGCCGTTCTGCGAGTGGCGGAGGCTAACTGCGGAGGGGGAGGGGAAACAGAACGTTACGCCACGCCACACGACGGGACAGGACCGAACGTAGAAGGCGGGGTCACGAACTCTGACCTCCCAGATCCGGAGCCGCCACCGACAAATAAACCCCGAAGAGCTACAGCTGCGCCTGACAGGTAAGAGGAGGAGAGGGCGGGGATAGAGAGCCGAAGCGCCGCCGGTAGTATCCCAGCTCAGGGAGGCCTTCCCTTCCTTCGGATCTTGGCTGGCGAGGCGTCGTCGCGGTGCTGCCTAACTGCGGCCTCTTCCGTGCCCTGTAGTGGCAGGATGCCGTTATGCATGTGCTGGGCGGTAGAAGTAGTTCCTCCTGGTGCTGCCGCCGCCGCCGCCCCTCTGACCTTTCACCCACAGGAAAGGCTTGTATCTCCCCTCCCCGGATCCTAGCCGCGCCCCGGGGCCTTTTCTTCATTGTGGACCTCGCCCTCTGGTTTATGGGAAAAGCGATGGAGTTGGAGTCGGCCCGGTCGTTACTTAGGTTGCCGCTTTGCTGCGTGGAAAGGCTTCGGAGCGTTGCAGTCTCGCCCCGCAGCAGCCATTTTGTGTTGGCGAGTGACAGCGGGCTTGGTGCCTCCCTCCGACTGCTTGACGGACGGGTCTCTCGGTGGGCTCAGCCCTTGAGGCCTGTTACTCAAAACTCCAGAGGAAGTGGGCTGACTAGGCTAATCCCTTCCTGTATCATTTGAACGTTGGTGGCCACAACAGCACCAGCACACCCTCCAACAAAGCCTTAGGCACGTTAGGTGTCACTGAAAGGGGAGCCCTTTCCTAGTTTTTCCTGATACGTTGTTGTTACACACAGTTATGTAGCTACTCTCTCTGAAGGCAAGAATTACTCTCAGTCTGTACAGGTACATTGTGTAAAAGGGATGGTAACCTCTGTTCTTAATTTTAAAAGATTAAGCTTAAATTTCTCGTTCTTTTATCCCATAATTTTGAGTAATGGTATAAATACTTTCTGATTCATTCCTCCTGTGCATCTATTTTTATGCACAATGTGGCTCATAATTAACGGCAAAACGCTTTCAGTATGATTTAATTAATTTCTCAGGCTGATACAAATTTACTGTGGGCTAATCTTTTAAGCTGGCATCCATAACTAATGTAGCAATGTACCTGTTTCTGCTCCAGAAAATATGTCTAATTACATTTCTTTTTAGCATGGTATATACAGTCCACTATTAAGTTTTACACCAGAGACAGTGCAAATGTTACATTATGTCATGCCCTCTTAATGATTCCCCTTATACCTCCCTGCAATAGCACTCACCACTAGGACTGAATAACTTCCAAAGCTAATGAATCATACAACAAGGGTCATGTTGATAAATTAATAATTATTAGCTGCAAAGGAATACCTGGCATGCTGATCAGCTGTTTAGAGGCTAGCAGTGTGTCAGCAGAACTGGAGTTGATGGCCTATGGATCAGTGGTGGGATTCCAATTTGTTTTTTTTTACACTACTGGTTCTATGGGCATGGCTTGGTGGACGTGGCAGGGGAAGGATACTGTAAAATCTCCAGTCAGAGGTGTATTTTCCGGTTCTCCAAACTACTCAAAATTTCCACTACTACCTGCTGAATACCACCTCTGCCCTGGAGATGTTGGAGGCACTTGACAATATATTTGGTGGGGGGGGGGATGATAATAGTGATGGAGCCTTTATTTTGTTTTTTGTTTTAATTTTGCTGACTTCATTTTGAGGAGATACATAGTCTTCTAAAGTGCAGTTGCCTGCAAATTCAATTCCTGATAAACCCATTGGAAAAGGTCTGTAATTATATATACCTAATGAGTCCCAATCATAATAAAACTAGACACATACTGCCTCCTGGTGGTGAAAATACTTCTCATTAATGACATCAAAAAGTATCTGATTTTAAAGTCTGGGATGTTGTATTTTGATTCAATAAAAGAGATACATGTCAGGTTTTCTTTAAAAATGACATTAAAAGTGTTCCCTTGACCATTCTCTTACTTAATCTTAACATGCATTTGTTAGATTGCCTTGGTTGACTGGAACTATTTCTCTTCTTTGCCCTGTATAAAACTCTTTTTTTCTGCTTCTATTTGCTTATTCTCTATGTATTGTTAATTGTGTGTATTAAAGCAGCCATTGAGTTTTCTTAAAAATCATGGTCTAAAAATTGTTCATGTATTACAACTGATAAAGTCAGTAATAAGAATAGCCAAAAAAAATCACAACTGTACCTAAATACTTCTTGATAAGTGTAGATTCCCTTTTTTTTCCTGATATAAATTAACTATTCTGATACTTTCTGTAGATTATTCCTTACCCAGGAATAAGCAATCCAGATTAAAGTGTTTACAAGTAATTTTTAGATGTGATTTGTACATTTGCCAAAAATAGAAACATAAGCTATAACAGGATTAAGGTGTTTGTGATGCTTAGGATATTATAGAATAGCAGTCGCCAACCAGTGGGCTGCGGCAAGATTTTGGTGGGCCGCAGAGAAATCTCACCCCCAGAGCATCCCCCCAAAGCAATTAATCCAGGCTGTGCAGAAACACAAGGCTGTGCCGCCCACATGGCCCGCGGGAACCCTCCCCACCCACTTGCTCCTTATCCGGCAAACTTGTCTGCTAAGTTGCTATTTTTCCTTTTTCTGACCATCATCTGTTCTGCTGTGCCAGGAGATTTAGATTAGCTAGGAAGCAGGAAATGGTTGGATTTCTTGGTTTCTAGCTAAGCACAGCCAAACCTCCCTTAGGACTGAAGGTTTGTTTACAAACAAATTCAGTGCAGACTCATGGCAAGCAAATTTGAGAGACTGAGCTAGCCGATGGCAGATAGATAGATCACTGAATGATTCTGTGAGCAACTCAGTATGCCTGCTTTGCCTGATTTTGGGTAAAAGTTGTTCTTTTTTAAAATAAAAAATTCAATATTTACATGCATGGTGTGTTGTGAGTTAATT